TAAAATAAATAAAGAAACAAGGGCATAATATCAAATAAACATCAATAACAAACACCGAGTTTAATAGGCGTAAATGTTTACAAATACAGTATATATGGGTACTTTACATGTGTTTGAATGTTTATATGCATAGGCGTGTGAGGTAAGCTTTAAACGTAGGCATCACGGAACTTCGTCACCCTGTAGCCGTCAATGTTGTTGCAGACCCGGCCATCTCCTTAATCTTGTCGGCGCTTTTAACTATACAGTGGTCCCTCGGTTAACGAGTTACCTCCCATAAGATTCTTAAATTCGGTTAACGAGCAACCCCTCGCTTAACGAGTTTCTTACGAGCCGACCTCAACAAGTTTTGGCTTGCACTGGGTGGTCAACCAGCTGTAGTATTAGTCCGCCAATACATTAATCGGTTCTAGGGCTTAAATTCCTTACTATTTTAGTAAATATCAAGAAGTTTATACTATTCAATAATTTTGAAAGTTTAATATTCAATTTTTTAGTCATTTTAACAATTATTGAACATAATTGAAGGTAAAGTGACTAGTTTAATGCGCGGCATCCAGCCTCTTAACACAGCAAACAGGCGTTAGTCTCTCTCTGTTTTCACTGGAGGTAACATCTTGCTTGAGACTCTCTTCAACTAAATGCTTTTTTCTGTGTTTCCAAGCAAATTATTGGTCATTTTGAAATTTATTTTACATATTGACAACATATAGCGCAGTGCAGTGTTATTTTAAAGAAAATATTCTTTATTTACAACAAATTTAACTTTAAAAAAGCATGTGTTGACATTGTTTGAATCCAGCATGGGGCCTAAGAGATCAAGAAAAGCGATTTCAATCCAAACCAAGCAGGAAATCATAAAAAAACATGAACAAGGTATTAGAACAAATGCGCTATGCAAAGAATATGGCATGTCGACATCAACTGTGTCGACAATTCTTGCACAGAAAGACAAGTTTAAAGGAGTGAGAGACAAATCTACAAGTGTTTAAAAGTAGATCCCTAATTGCAGAAACTGAGAGGTTACTTATCATTTGGATTAGGGAAAAACAGATGAAAGGTGATTCAGTTTCTACTGAATTCATTTGTGAAAGAGCCAGGGAGATTTACGAACATTTAAAGACAGATCAACCTGGTTCTTCAGGCACAGAATTTGAAGATTTTCGGGCCAGCAAAGGCTGGTTCGAAAAATTTAAGAAAAGAAGTGACATTTTCAGTGTTGTTAGGCATGGTGAAGCTGCTAGTGCTGATAAGGAAGGGGCAGCAAAGTTTTTAGGTGAATTTAAAGAACTGATGGAAGAAGAAAATTATCTTCCACAGCAAGTGTTCAATGTGGACGAAACTGGGCTGTTCTGGAAAAAGATGCCCAAAAGAACATTCATCACCAGAGATGAAGCCTCTTTACCTGGGCATAAACCCATGAAAGACCGTCTCACTCTATTGCTTGGTGCCAATGCTTCAGGGGATTTCCGACTGAAGCCTATGCTTGTCTACCACTCTGAAAACCCCAGGGTGTTCAAGCAACAGAAAGTGGTAAGAACAAAGCTTGGAGTTTATTGGAAGTCCAACCGTAAGGCATGGGTGACAAGACAGCTCTTTAATGAATGGGCTGTTGATGTGTTTTGCCCTTCTGTCAAGAGCTACCTAACCACCAATAAACTCCCTTTAAAGGCTCTTCTCCTCATGGATAATGCTCCTGGTCATGATCCTGACCTTGCCAGCAATTTGGAGTATCAATTTGACTTTGTGAAAGTGTTGTTTTTGCCTCCAAACACTACATCAATCATACAGCTAATGGACCAGAATGTGATCAGCAACTTCAAGAAGTTGTACATGAAGAAAATGTTTAGGAGATGTCATCAGGCAACTTCCAATGATCCTGAACTAACACTGAAACAGTTCTGGAAGACACAATTCAACATCCTGGAGGCTGTAAAATTGATTGTGTCATCATGGCAAGAAGTCTCCACTAGATCCCTCAATTCTTCATGGAAAGCTCTGTGGCCATCAGTAGCCCATGATTTTGAGGGATTTGAGGAAGAAACAGAGTTGGACCAGGAGTTTGTGTCCATTGGTCGTCATTGGGCCTTGAAGTGGAGGAGGAGGATGTGGAAGAGCTTGTGATGTCTCATGAGGAGGAACTTACTCCTGATGACTTTAAGCAACTGGATGAGATGTTACAGGTAGAGGCTGACAGTGGTGAGGAGGAAATTGAAAGTGATGACCATATGTCGGCTAAACAGTTGAAAGATGTGATTTACTACTGGGAGAAGTTCAGGGAACTGGCCCAAGCACCCCTGTTGAGGACTCAGTGGTCTCCTTTAAACATAAGTTAATGGTGAGGAGGACAGATGCCCCACAGACCTGAATTGACCACTTTCTTCAGTAAAGGCAGAGGAACAAGATGCTATCTCAGCCTTCCACTTCAGAAAGGAGTGAGGATGTTCATGGAGAATCTGTCAGTCAGAGTTCTAACATTTTCATGGAAGGTGGCTCTGCCCAAGAAGCAGTAAAATGCGCTTCTCCCTCCTCACTTCTTCTCTTCTCCTTCTCCTCCTCACCTCCACTTCAAATTCATCATCATCATCATCATATCATCCAGGGCCTTCTACATACACACCTCAAAGTAAGTGAACTTTTCTACCTTTTTTGTTGAGTTTAGGCAATTTTCGGTGAGCTGGAACCAATTCCCCAAAAACCCATTGAAACAATAGTTTGAATGTAACGAGATTTTTGGTTAACTAGCAACCTGCTAGAACGGTTGTTTCGTTAACTGAGGGACCACTGTAGAAGCAAGAATGCACCGTAGAGGGAGCCAAGTCGGTACACACCCAATCACTGACGTTCCTTCTCCGTCTTTTTACGATATCCAATTTCACGTCCAACGTAACTACCACACGTGATATCTTAGCAACATTGCTTGGAGTTTTAGTAGCTGATCGTTTAGGCATTGCGAGATCACATAAACAAATTGTGAGATCACACAAAACACTGCGCCAGCACGTGTGGGAATTAAGCCAGGCGTGTAGGCGGAGGAATACATACACATGCTGTCTACGCTACGGTTGGGCGGTGGTTCAAAATTATTCCTCTTAAATTTCTTGAATAAGCAGGGCAACCATTGCAAATAGTGGAAATGGGTAACAATAAATTGATTGCGGATAGCAGAGTTCACGAATACGAGGCTATGAATAACAGGGTTTGCCTATATATATATATATATATATATATATATATATATATATATATATATATATATATATATATATATATATATATATATATATATATATATATATATATATATATATATATATATATATATATATATATATATACACACACTACCTGGTGCTTACAAATTATTATCTCGATTTTAAAACATTGGGGGGAGGAGATGGGGACTACATTGAAAAGCAAGATATGTAATATTGAGTTACTTATTTCTTCCCCAGTGGCTGGTTTATTCACCCGATCTAAGCCCTGACTCTTTTCTCTGTTGTCTACTGGTATGTGGGATTACCAGTACATTATGTCAAAAACAGTTTTTATTCCCCCAATGCCAGCATATTTGGGAAATTTGATGAAAGGATATGTGGGGCTGTTAGAAAAATTCAGTATGACATGCTTCAAAATGACTGGAGGGAGACTGAATACTACTTCAATGTCTATATGTTAATATAAAAAAAATTACTTGTTCTTAATTAATATATTATTATTTTTTGCTAAGCTTTAATAGTTTTTACATAAGAAATTTTAAAATCGTTACAATAATTTGTAATCACTCAATACATATAAAATGAATACAGTACTGTATAACTATTCTTGGCATGTGAAGGCAAGTTTAAATAAATCATAGAGCACCATCTTGCTAACTCAGAAATAATGCTAGAAAAGCAAAAAGCTGCAGATACATGAGATTTCTTTAATAATAATTATAATAATAATAAAGACTTTAAACAACTACACAGAATAAAGAAGACAGCTAAAGTGAAATACATAACCTGTGTGGAGGTTAGATGAAATGCTTGACACAGTTGTGTTAAAATGTACCTACTGTATGTATGAATGATAATGGTTGACTATTTTACATACTGAAATGGCATGAATATTAGTATCTCTGTACCTTTTATACTTTATACTGTACATAATAAAAAATATATTTTATTTTTTTTTGCTAATTTTCAGTACACTTTTCTGGTTTATGCTTTGATTTAATGCAAGAAACTAATGATCTGAACTGTGCGTTTGTATTATAAAATTTGGCATGGAATAAAATTATATATGTAGGTTATTCTTGGCACTCAAAAAGCCATATCATTAAACAATTAAAATAATAAATATCTGAAATGAAGGAATGTCGAACAAAAATGCAACAGTGACATTTTCACCAATACCTTGTAATATCATGATAATATTCACTTTTTGTCATGTAGCAACTTCTACATAATGAACAGTTTAATGAAGATATGTAAGAGCACAAATCATCTACTTTACTGTTGGACTGAGACAAATAGCACTTCAGTTCATTGTAGGTGCCCCCCCCTCCCCTTAACAGTTCTGTTGGCTAGCTATAATATTTTGAATTGCACCTTAACAATCTTTAAAATATTCCTACAAGAAAGGTCAAATTGCACTAATGGATATTCCCAAAACTTCATAATTCTATTAATAAAGAAAATTTTCCTTAAAATTAAATACTGTACTCAAATTTTCCCAGATATCTTAGCACACTATTTAAAATATTAATTCTATGTATTTTTTTTTGTTTTACACAAGTGAAGCACACAATTATCAGGAAACCTTAACAGTTTACCTCACTTCTACACGGAAATGCTCTACTACAAGAAAAATCAACATCTAAAACTAAAAAAATCATGTAAGCTAAATTTTTGCATGGTTTTAAAATCTGAATCTCTGAAAACTAAAAGTAGTCTGCAAAATTAAGTGCTTCCTAAGTTTACACTTGTATGTATATGACAGGTCTGAATATTAACACATGCATCCCATTTTTATTTTTTTGCTTCAAACCCTAGCAAACTACAAGCTTATCTTAGAGTTGGTAAAACTCCTATACTGTAGCACAACCTAAAGGGAATCTAACAGAGTGCACTGAGCTTATATAAGAAAATATGATTTTCTTTTATTTTACAATGAAGTAATAATAATAAAAAAAATCCAATTTAAATTGTTGGGTTCCTCACAGAGGTTTCTTCAATGCACATGTATTCTATATAATATATTTTCAGTTATGAAAAAAGTTACAATCCCAATGGTAAACACTAACTGATGCACAAATATACACTATTTGATACAGTTTTGGGTTATATACAAAATATATTTTGTACAGATAAAAAGTACAACCAAATATTTTTCATTATAAGCATAATTTGGCCAATAACTGCACAAAAAAGCATTCTCTTCCATCACAAAAATAGATAAAGAGCATCTCCAATGTTCAATTACTTTACATGTGTTAAAAGGGGCCTTTGGAACAAGGTACCACTGAGAATCATATCTCAAATGTCACCGGGGTATTAGTCCTGGAGGCAACACTACCTTTTACTCAACCTAGCTTAATGTGTTACACTTAACACCAAGTACAATAGGAAACCTTGGGATCTAAATTCTCAGAGTTGTGTTACATTTGCAGAAAAGGTTCACTATAACTTTTAAAAATTTAATACAGTATTTGAAAGTAAAATAGCAAATCATTAACTGCCCACCTATAGCAGCCCCAATAAAACTTATTCTATAATCACGGTAACCTTGTCGTAACTATCATTCACACTGTATCAGTACCTGTATGGTATAATATTCCAGCTCACTTATATCCAGGCATCAACAGGTTCACAGCTTTAAAATAACATCCAGAATAAGTGTAGACATTTCAGCTTAAGTTCTCTGGCCTATATGTAATTTGTACACCAACATAAGGGCATGGCACAACACTTACCTATCATACATCAGGCACACTTAGATCTGGCTCCTATTCAAGCTTAAATATCTTAAGGAAACATAAAAGTTCAAACATTTCCCAAAACCTGCAAGATTTAGAGTATTAAAAAAATTATCATAATTTCTAATGCATTATAGAGCCGTGCTTTCTTATTGTGTCTATGGGAAATTAACATTTGTACAATTTTTTTAAAACTCAGATTAATATAACACTGTTACAACAAGGGATTGAAATTCATTCATCAGGAATGTGGCGGGAGCGGCATAGTGATGGCACTTCGACCAGTTACTCTCTTTCCCTCCTCATCCCAACCTGATCGGACACATGTACCCGTCACTGGGTGGGTCATCTGGAAGAGTTCTAATTACTTTGTATGTGCTTTCTCTTTCCGATTGTAAACCTGTAATTTGAGTTTGAGAGGATTTTTTCTTGTTGTTAACATCTCGACTCTTATCTGATCTGCTTCTCTCTGAGGTGTCACTCACAACAGGTTCAGGACTAGTGACTCTACTTCTAGACTTGCGTGTCTTGAGACTTCTACCTGGCTCTCTATTTGAAGGACTATGCGATTTCTGCTTCTTAAGCCCACCACTTTTCTTTCTAATTCATTTCGATTGACACCACGGCCAGATCGTTTAAAATTTGTACCTAGAGCACTTTTGCCTCCTTTACCTTCAATTGATGAAGCTTTTCTCAACTCTGGGGGAGCAGATCGTGACACTTTGCTCTCCCCTCTAACCCTACTCTCTGACAACCTCAAATGACCAAGACTTGGAAGTACCTTTGGCAGCCTTGGTAGCCCGAGCTCTGCTGAAGAACTTTTTTCTCGGGAGTGGAAGGACTGGACAAGATTTTATCCTCTTTGTCACTTGAGTTGAATGGGGCATCCGGCTCTTTATCATTACAGGAGTTGGTGGGGGGAGCTTTGCACTTGCTGGATGTGTCGGAGTGGGCGGTGGTGTTCTCGGTGGAGCCAGCCTGATGGAAGAGCTTGAGATTTCTTGATAGCGCCTTTGTTGCAGGTGGAGATGCTGGTGGTGTTGGCGTTGGAGGAAGATGCTGATGATGGTGATGATGTATTCTCGTTGATTTTACTGTTCTTGTTTTTCGAGGTGGGCAGTATTGGTAGTCATCTGACGAGGGCAGCCAGGAACGGCTGGTGAGTGTATTTGAGTTTCGGCTGTGGATCAGAATGATATGCGATGAAATATAGATTGATTAATGTTAAAAGAACATATAAATCAGTATCTATATGCTAATATACCACAGTGTATCTCAAATAAACACACACACACAAAACAATCACTGCCACTCTCACTAAGCACAATATACTCTAATATGCAAAATAAATTACTAGTGATATCCCCGTTAGCCGGAACAATTGGTGCAGAGCATTTCCGTAATGAAATATTTCCGGGTAACAAGACGACTTTCTCAAACCCGGAAAAATTCCTTATCCCTGGAACCTTTTCCGGTTACTGGGAAAAGTTTGCGAGTGTTAAAACTACACCTCTTGCGCAGTCGCACACTAGCCCACTTTCCCAGAATGTTTCTGGGTGCTGGAGATGTTTTCCTTGAATCTAAACTACTAGAATCCATAAATACAGTTCTAAATAAGTTATAAACTTGATTTCTATACTACTGTATAATAATCCAGAATAGTTTATCAAAAAGTTTGGTTAAATAAATATATTTAAAATTAAAATCAATAGGATATGGGCATGAATGAAGCGGTGTGTTACAGCAAAGATTGTTATTTTCCACTCCCATGAAGCTATGGGGGGATTAGTGGGTCTCATGTAACTGACCTGACCTGATGCAACGGCCAGGTGGATTTAGGATGGGGGATTAACGGTCTCATATTACTGACCTGATGGAATGTCAGGTCACCCTTTCTTGGGTGGACGATTAGTGGGTTTCATGACCTGAAGATGTCTTGAATAAATATGAAATCTTAAGTATTTTTAGAGAGATTGTGGTAAGTACAGATATAAGTATAAATGAGCAATGTTGTATCCCTTCAACATTACATTACATAACATAACATTTTAAAATATGGAGTGAGAAAGCAGAAAGGTGTGGGTAAATAGAGAGGAGTGAAAATGAGTGTTGCCAAGCGCTCCTCAACAGCTGATATTTAACTGTACTACCATGCAGTCACACACACGCAGATGTGTCTTAATTCCCTTGCTGGGGTGTGTGGTGGTGTTGGAAAGTGTGTGTGTGGGTGGTGTTGGTGTGTTGACAGAAGCAAACCTTTTTGGGGGATAGGGGGTCACTTGGTCAGCCCCCCCCCCACCCACTCAAGCGGCTGTGATGTGATAGGGAGATGAATTTGATACCATAATGATCCTTAATACATTCTCTACAAAACGTTTCCAATAAGATATCCTTAAACAAAATATTTCTATATGATATGGTGATGGGAATTCCATTGTTTTATATATAAAAAAAAAAAAAAAAAAAAGAAATGTTGATACGGACTCGGTAAACTCAGTTCAAATTTTGGTGAACCCCCATTTTTTTTATCAAAATAATCATGAAAACTTTCTCTTAAACATTGGTTAAATAAACATATCTTAAAAAACAAAAGCTCTATAATCTCGGACGTAATAGAGCTGTGTTATATATATCTTCTTCACCACTGATTGGCTCATTAGCCGCTTGGGCAATCGGTCACGTCTCTGTTACACACTGTTGGCAAGTGTTCTTGTGTACTGTTTTATTGTACTCCAGCAGATCCTGTCATCTTTAGCCTAGAATAGGCAGACACTTCACTCAATTGACTGTAATACATAACTAATCATAACATTGAAGGTTGGGTGGGTGATTATTGTGTCACGTTATTAACCTGACCTGATGCAACGTCAGATCACCCATTGTTAGGTGGGGGATTAGTGGGTCTTATGACCTGAAGATGTCTTGAATGAAATTTTTTACCTATGAGGAATATACATAATACTATACAGTATTACCGCTTTGGTTTTCTTTTTCATGATTTCTCATTTCTGCGGTACCTTGCCAGAACCAGACTTTCACTTTCATGGTGCATCTACTCATATATGTAGAATATAATTTACATTGCTGGAATTCTTACAATATGATGATCATTTTGAATATAAACATCATGGATTTTGCATTAGACATACAAATTTTAGATCTTATGTAATAATTTGGTTTACACAAAGCAAATATTTTATCTTTTGTGCAAAATATATGAAGTCTACATTCAAAATATTCCCTGACCTGCAAGGAATCCAGAAATGTCAATTATATTATCCTAACTTTAGTCTGAGTTATTATTTATTACTAAAAATGTAAATATACTATTTTCTCCCAAAACTTCTCTGGTAGGGAGGGAAGGTGGGGGTGGGGGGGAGGGAGGGACCGACCGACCCAGCTAGGGCGGAGTATTTTGATTGACAGAGAGTGTCCTTGAAGAATATTTCTTTGTTTATTTACTAAAGATATATGTTTTAGCTCATAAAATTCATACAAATTACCCGGCCAGAATATAATTTACATTGCTGGAATTCTTACAATATAATGATCATTTTGAATATAAACATCATGGATTTTGCATTAGACATACAAACTTTAGATCTAATGTAATAATTTGGTTTACACAAAGCAAGTATTTTATCTTTTGTGCAAAATATATGAAGTTTACATTCAAAATATTCCCTGACCTGCAAGGAATCCAGAAATGTCAATTATATTATCCTAACTTTAGTCTGAGGTATTATTTATTACTAAAAGTTAAAATCTAGTTTTTCACCCAACATTTCTCTGGTAGGGAGGGAAAGTTGGGGGTGGGGGGAGGGTTGGGACCGACCGACCATCTGGCACGGTTGGAAGAGGGGGGAGGCAAGTTGGGGTACTTTGATTGACAGATAGTGTCGTGAAGAATATTTTTTTTTTTTATAAACTGAAGATATTTGTTTTAGCTCATAAAATTCATACAAATTACTGGACCAGAATATAATTTACATTGCTGGAATTCTTACAATATGATGATCATTTTGAATATAAACATCATGGATTTTGCATTAGACATACAAATTTTAGATCTAATGTAATAATTTGGTTTACACAAAGCAAGTATTTTATCTTTTGTGCAAAATATATGAAGTTTACATTCAAAATATTCCCTGACCTGCAAGGAATCCAGAAATGTCAATTATATTATCCTAACTTTAGTCTGAGGTATTATTTATTACTAAACGTTAAAATCTAGTGTTTCACCCAATCATTTCTCAGAGAGGTAGGGGCCAGTGAGCTGGGAAGAGGGGGGGGGATTTGAGTCCATTATTTGAATGGACATAACCTGGCGACTGTATTTCTCTTAAATATTAATTGTGTGAGCATACCATCATAAAATTTAGATGTTATTTTTACTACAACACAGGTATTGTGTCGGAAAAAGTGGAGTTTGGGGGTCGGGCCAGTCTCTATTGGAATTAATCCCATATGTTCTGTTGTTCATTTTACGCGGTTTTCACTTTCCGCGGTACCCTGTGGGTTCAATTGACCGCGTAAATCGGGGTACTACTGTACTGTGTTGTATCTGAAGGGTACAGGCATTAATAAGCACAGATTATTACAGTAACATATCTTTACTAATTAATGAAAAACAAATAAACAATATTGTATCATGAATGAACCAGTACAGTAGACAAACAGTGAGGTGACCCTTTGGGGGTTTGGTGGGGGGGGTGGGGAGGTCACTTTTACCCCCAATGGACTCTTCTCCCTCTGGCTGGAAGGAGGGGGGAGGTGGGGAGTTGACAGCCAGGAGAGGAGATTAACGCTTACTCAAGGATTATGAAATGCAGGGGGTTTAATTTATTCGCTTATAAAAGGCACTGACTTGACTTAGGAGAATATAACTTGCATTGCTGGAATTCTTGTAAGATAGTGATTAATTTAAGTATAAACATCGCTTATTTTGTACCAGACATAATAATTTTAGTAATTAACTTAGTACATTTGGGTACAGGTTGTGATAATTTATGTGGTTGCAGTTTTGAAGCTTCAAGACATCACTAGTGTATAAAACGTCTCCATATGCCCTAGTTTATTCATTAATCCGTTGTCTAAGTGCAAATGTCGCCCAGTCGAGCCACCATGTATCAATTAATTTTAAAATAGAAATTATAATGTAAAATGTTATAAGACAATGGTTTAGTAGTGCTGTTAATAAGTGTGCTGTGTAAGTGTCTTGGCATGTCACCTCACCACCTGATTCCTGAACAAACTCTTCATTAACTTCTTCAAATCCTACAATGTGCTTGGTAAGCTAAAACACACACACACACACAGGAATTAACACAACAAAAGTCCAGTGAGGGTCTTGTTGTGTGACTGTTAGGAGCTTATCACTTGGCAACACTGGTGCATGTTACCACTCCTTTCCACTCCATCTCTCTAACCACCCACACCTTTCTGCTTTCTCACTCCATATTTTAAAATGTTATGTAATGTAATGTTGAAGGGATACAACTTTGCTCATTTATACTTAAAGTTATCACAATCTCCCTAAAAATACTTTATCTTTCATGTTTATTCAAGACATATTCAGGTCATGAGACCCACTAATCCCCCACCCAAGAAAGGGTGACCTGACATTCCATGAGGTCAATAATATGAGACAACTAATCCCCCACCCTACCTACAGGTCAGGTCAGGTCCCCCGAAAAATTACTTTAACTTTCGTGTTTATTCAAGACATTTTCAGAAAATTCTCTCGCTTTTTAACCTCGGAAAATTTGTTCCTAAAGCCGTAAATTTTTGAAAAATTCCGAGCAAATTTCAATTACGGCCATCGGAGAGTTCCAGGTTTGAGGGATTCTGGCTAACGGAGATGTTACTATACATGTCATGCCTAATAAAAAACCTTGCTGATCAAGAATTAATCAACATTAATTTGAAGAACTAATGATTGATCTTGATATCTTGTTTTCTAAGACTCTGTATTGAGCAACTCTTTTAAGTTCAATAAGTTTGTGGGACAAAACCACAGGCCCTTCTGATTTGTGTGATCAAGGTCTAAGAATTAACAAAATAAAATAATAGAAAATCATCACCTTTATACTGGAATCCTAAAGGATAGCCACTTGGCATGAAGTGCTCTAAAATGGGAAGAAGTTATGAGAGTTTTACTGCTGAACATTAGACAAACAACTGAATGTATGTCAGTTTTATAGTAAAATGCAAAGAGAGATACCTCAAGCTCCCAGAACCTCTATGAAGGATGGTTTAACAAAGCTGCCATCTGACTTCCAATAAGAATGGGTTGGTTGTCTTGATGATTTCATGCTCATCAAATGCATTTATGGCAATCATAAAGAAACATTCCCAAAAAGAAAATGTAGGAGCCGAAAGTTCTGTCAATAATAATCCAAAACACATGCACCTACCAAATTTTAATGATCATTTTGGTGTTGAATAGGGCTGCTATGGCAACCACCCAGTGTGCTGATGCACATTCCAAGCAATTCAAAGAGCGAAAAGACCAGAAGACCCTGTGCTTCAAATAGCTGAGGACAATTGAGGCATTCAGATATCTCTTAGTTATTTTTCCTTCACTGCCTGTCCACAATGAATAATGTTCATGAGAAATGTGATTAAAGTTTGTCGACTTTCAAAATGCCATAACTTCTGAACCAAACAAGATGGGTCTTGACTTTTTTTTTTTTTTTGCAGAATATACTTTTTCTGGGATAAAGGAGGGTTCAGGGAAGACGATGGTGTACAAAATGCAATACCGGCCAATATGACAGACAGCAGGTTATGATTCTGAATGCCTCAATTGTGTAAGACCTCATCCATTTTCTAACTCAAGGGTGGAAGTAGAAAGGCAAAAATGAATCAGCTTGTGACCCCAGCCAAACTGACAAGTGAATTTCTGCAGATTGCTGCTACTTCCCATATGGTGCTATCATCCATTCACCCATGTCTACCATTCTGAATTTGAGAAAATTGGCTCCATACTTTTGGCACTTATTTTTACAGTTTTGATCTTATTCTGCCCTGACAATGGCATCCAAAAAGTATCCAAGTGAAATTATTGAATTTGTGTTGCAATGAGGAAACTTGTTATGCTTATAAACTGTAGAAAGTTGAAATTTCACATGTCTTCAAGTGGTTTAAATGCTGTTGCAGTACAGGAGTACCTGACGTTTGCATGAAAAGATTGGTATCTGTAATCTAAAAATACTGTATATGTTATTCAAACATTTTTCTGTCCCGAGGAATTTTAACCAGAGGTTATGTACAGCACTGCTTGCAGAATTAATAACCCTGAGGTGGGATATCCAGCATTAGAATCTGATGAGAAATTTTCCTGCTTAAACATCTCATTCTTGAGAACCAAAATATCCTCTAACTGGCCTTGGACTACTTCTTGTATACAATTAATATAAGATAAGCTGATCTATGCACTATACACAGTGCTAGGTTGTGTTAGCCCTGCAACCAAATTGCTAGCTAACTAGCCACAGCATCATTAAACAAAATCTTGCGATGCAATAAACCTATCACATGCATAAAACTGTGTGGCAGTATTACACACCTTACTTGAGTGAAGAAAAAAAGATGTAGTGGTGCAAACACAGAACACAATACTAAGTTTTCAATATACAGTACAGTGCAGTACAATTGTATGGCTGACACTCCACTGTTCTGTCTTAGCTTACTCAGCTATAAAATTAGTTATCCATTCACTGCTGGGTGGACAATAAGGAAGCTCTGGGCATGAATGAGCATCCCCAGTAAAAGAGGCAAGTGTTATCACTATTCAACTTTTGAGCCCCTACTTACAGTACATCACATTCAAGTGTTCCAAAATCACAAGAAAACACTTAGCTGTCTGTAATGAGAAAATAGGTGCAGCACATACACACTGTGTTGAGGTGCAGCCTGATCTGAAGGTTCTATCCTGCTATGCATTTTATACAGTAACTGTGCAAGCATTTGATAAATTGGTGTGTCTGCGTTGTGCTCAGCAGCCAAACTCATAAGCCTTCTCCATTTTCAGTGACTACCCTTTAGGACCCTGGTCTGAAGATGAAGGTTATTCAAATTTTCGATTTTATTAAATTTATAGACCTCAGTTCACAAGACATGACCCCAGGCCTGGGGGGGTGGAGGTTTCAACCTGTAAACTATATGGAGTTCCTTGACCCAAGATGTAAATGGAAAAAAATAAATCTAATTAATAAAACTTAATAAAGCTTACCCTGACCACTGACATAAATAGGTTAGCCTGGGTGTACAATAAATACAATATACTATGTAGACACACAAAAAAAAAAAAAAAAAATATATATATATATATATATATATATATATATATATATATATATATATATATATATATATATATATATATATATATATATATATATATATATATATATATATATATATATATATATATATATATATATATATATATATATATATATATATATATATATATATACAGTAGTGACAAAATCATGCCAAAGGCAATAATAATGATAAAAAGCTACTAATAGCAGACTATGCACAGGAATCTGCAGGAAAGGCAACCAAAAGTGATTAAACCTGGAAAAAAAGGAGTACTGTACATGCAAATTAAAAATAATACATAAATAAAAATAAAAGGAAATAATATCACTAATCACTAAACAACTAACTTACACAGGAGAGAAACGGTAGTGAAAAAGTTGATTACTATTTGTTATTCCCTTTACTACGCGATAGACTGGGAGTTTGCTGTGTATAATAGGTGAGCTGAGCTGAGACTGATTTCCCAAGCTTGAGGTCCGGCTTCTATTGTCCTCTCTGATGCTGCAGCCGCTATTTTCTATCTCGTGTTCACGGTTGTTATTTTCCAACTGAGGATGATCTTCAATATTGCCATTATCCACATTATCAGTTGATAATGCTGCAACTGTGTGGGTAATGTCACTGGCTCTGGGAATTTGGTTATCATTCATGGTTGAAGAATAAGATGATGAAAGAGGGGAGGAAACAGAGGGACCTTTGGGAGTGGATGATGAAGAAAGAGCAGCGTGGAAAGAGGACTTTGTCTGGGAGGAGGAAGAGGAGTTCATATGAGCCTTTCTCCCAGAGTTCTGAGAGACCAAGCTATCAGGACTCTGAGAGGTCCCCAGAGGAATTATGGAGGATGGGATCAAGCCACGTGTCTGAGGCTGAGAGGATGAAGGGGGCCCAGGAGCTTGGGACACCCCCCGAAACTTGTTTCCACGGTGTGCAGATCCACGGTACACCGAGCCCAATAGCCATGCATGTCTTGTGTAAAGGAGTGAGAAAGTTTTATCGTAAATGTCTCACAGTTATATGACACATTTCAAATTTAACAGTTAATAATATCAATTACATTCATGCTAAACAGATTGTATTAGTAATCAAATTACGCTATTATCCAGATTAGTGGTACTGGTAAGTTGTAAAGTACATGTACAGTACCTTGTTCTATACTACAAAGAATTCACTTTCTGCAGAAATAGGGTCATAAAAAGGATACTTTAATCTAAGCAAGAGCAACCTTTTTCCAAATTGATATTAATTCTAGAAACCAATGTGAGTTCTACATATTAGTGTGGTACAGTATAACCTCAGATATCTGGCATTTAACCATCCAGAACTCTCAAGCAACCAGCATTTATTTATTTATTTTATATATATTTTTTGGGTGGGGTCAAGTAATGTCTAATAATATAAAAAAAAATCAAGAAAATTGGTTTGAATTTGGGGTCGCTTTGCCCGTGTTTCCACTTCTGGCCACTAGAGGCGCTGAGTGCAGCCTCCATATTGGCCAAACATACATTCTCCCCTAAGTGAAGAAAAAATTGTTTTAAGTGTAACCTTATTGAACTTTAGTGTTTAAGGAACTTAACAAGCCTGAAAAAGAGTAGTGAACTAAGTGATTACTGCACCCATATTTACTCAAGCTCAACAAGTAACTGTATCCGCTACTGTACAACAGGATTACACACACCACTGCAGTGCTACATAACGAGTGAGTACAGCTCTTTTATTCCCTTTATAATATATTTGCTATGTCATTTTATAAAATTTACTATGACGATGTTCTTGAGTTTGAGATGTGGTTTTTTAAGAGTAACTCTCAAGCATTTGGAAAAAACATTCATCAGGCACATTCAATTCCCCATGCATTCTGGATCTGAAGTCTTACTGTACTTAACACTCATGCTCTATGCTGCTTAAAACCCACTGGAAGATACCGTCTTTACTTCTGTGGTATGCAAAGTCTTTATAAGGCTCTATGATTAATTTTGGTATACAGTGTGCTTTGTCAAAATATTCATCCCTACATTACTTTATTATTTAAAAACTCCCAAGTTTTGGACCTTAAAAGCATAAATAAAATAGAGGGTACTTTTCTTTATCAGCATTTAAACCTAATTAACCCTTACGCCCCGGGTGACGTTCAAGAATGCACGTCCTTTTCTGCCACTCTTTGAATGCCCATTGCGAGTTAACAGGTTCCAGCATGACTATTTGTCTGTCAAGGCACACGGAGGGGAGCATGGGTGGGCTCAGCACGGTCAGTACCCATTCCCCTGTCGCCCCTCAACCTCTCGTGCTAGGTCGCCAGCATCTTCCATCCCAATCGAGCGTTGCTGCCGCGGGTTAGATGATAGCGAGATACGAACAGAACTATTTGATGTGAGTGCCGTAGTGTGCGATTCTAGTGAAAGTGGTGATGAAAGCAGTGATTATATGCCTAGTGATCCTGAGAATAGCATTGAGTTAGACGATGTTGTTGGGACAAGTGATGACGATGAGGCTGGCAGCGAGGCACAGCAAGGACGGAGTATGCCAGCCACGAGTTTCCGGCTCAGACAAGGGGCAATGGATGCGTTTGTTTGGTATGATGGCATCAGGGTATCACCAACACCACCACCTCTCCTCCTCCTATGCACAGTCAGAGGGAAGCTTCTTGGTAAGTACCTTCTTTTGTTTGTTTATTTTTCATTGTTTGTCTACTTTATCATGTTATATCAAAGTAATATTACTAAAAGCAGTGTAGTATTACTTGAAAATAATGCTATGGTTATGTTATATGTACTTATTTGTGGAATTATTATTCAGATAATTATTTCTAAGAATTACTTGCTCTCCCAAACACAAAGACAGCCAGATAACCTGGCGAGACACTGGGTGTGTGTCGCCGAGCACTTTTTATGAAAAGTAATGCAAATAAAATAAATTCTAAATTAATTATTTATAGAAAATAAGTATTATGATCAGTAAATATATGCATTACTGGCCATCTCGGACACAAAGGCAAGCAGAAAAATAACCGCTAAGTGCGTAAGTGACCACGAGCGCTCGCCGTTAAAATCAAGCTTTCCCTTTACAGTATTCCCCTTGTCACTGAGGTGCCACAGAAGTTTCTAGAGGGACAATATATTTTTACTTCTTTTTTATTGTTTGATCATTAATAAAGGTTAAAAATTATTTTTGGAAAAATTGACTTTTCTCGTTTTACACCGTGTACGGCCAGCGACACGCTACCCGGGACGTAAGGGTTAATTAAGAAAATTTAAGATGGTGTGTAATGATACTCAAACCTTTACCACCATTCTGAGACCTCTACATGAGCACAGTTCATAATATATCAAGTGTAAAGTTTTCAAGAACATTTTATCAACTGTTCACTGTCTTGTAAGTTACGAGGCCAACTAAGTACTGAACAGGGGATCCCTGCTTGAAGATGGAACCTCAATACTGTATATCATCTACTCCAGTGATGGTGATTGTTAATTTTTATGTTTATTATTTATTTTTAAATTCCCATTTTATTTTTTCTTCTGTGTTGTAGATGCAGGTACAGTACAGTACTTAAAACATTAATTAATTGCATTTAATTTTGTTGACTGTAATTTATTTATGTTATGTGATAGTCCTCAATGCTTTATAGCCAATTTCTACACTTGAGTGGTTTAGCCACAATTACCTTAAGGCAGCTGTTGGGAAAAGCAGAATAGGATGTTCCCACCACAAACCCAGGTGCAGATCAGAAAATGCTGCAAAGACCAGGGAATATGCACAGCTCTGGTGACCTGTTTGCCATCAGGCATGTTGAAGTAATGTTTTATGACTGGATTCCCCTTCTTGACACTAACACTAAGGTAGGGAACAGCTGCCAAAGCAGGGATGCAACTCCCTGAGGCAATCAAAGACTACCTGCCTATGTCCGGTTGTAGTTGAGCACTGGTAATCACAACACTCATGATCTGTTGTCCTCAAATAATTCTGTGCACCAATACCTTCCAAAAGATTTTATTTATATTTTTTTGTACAGAAGTACTTAGAAATATGTTACCAATGAATTGTGTGTTCATAATCCCCATCTCATGGTCATTCATCAACTAACCACCTTACTGTACTAAAACTGATAAATTGCAACAAAAGCTGGAAACCTCATCTAACCTACCTTGTTGGCTGAGGTAAATCATTGGTGTTAACACAAGTTCAGTACAGTATTGTATTAAAAACAGATGGTAAAAATGCAAAACTGTACAATAAATCATGAGTCGACATAATCAGCAGCATCGTATGCAATTGATCACAATTCGGAAATTTCTTTATTTTGGCAAAAGTAGAACCCATTTTACTCCAAATTATAGTTATATGAACTCTCAATGAAAATAATATATGAATTTTGTAGTTGATCCAAACTTAGGAGTTATACTAGAATAATGTCAATAGGCACACATTCATGGTACAATACATCACTAAAACATGGGCTAAAAATTACTGGTGATATACTGATCATTTACTAGACCAGCTATATATATAATCCCTTCATTGTTAACAAATTAAAAGAGATCAAAATCATCGCAGACAGGTATGTTAACACACAAAAAAGCACACAATAATCCAGCCCTTAACATCATTAGTATATTACCCAAGCATTTTTAATTAATTTCTCACCTTTTGGTAGTGGCTGTGGTGGTGGTACGTATAGGCCTACGTGCTGTATCTCGATGGGCTGTGGTGAGGGTGGAGACCTTGCCGGCCTTCAGTGGTGATAACACTGCCTCTCTCCCTCCACCACCACCACCACCACTGCCACTCCCACCATTGCCCAATGGTGTGGACTTGGTGCGAATGTGGGCTTTGTCTTCGAGGCTGCAACAACATTGTTGTTACACCAAGTGTAAAAAAAAAAAAAAAATAATACAAGAAAATTCTTTCTATACTACTAGCCTTAAGTTGGTCAGTGGAGCATTCAATATACAGTGACATTAAAACTTCTTTCACTTGCTCTATTTTGGAGAATTTTGTTACATATAACCATTTTATAGCAAGGAAACAAACTACTTGTAGTGACCTGATGAGATCCAGCCAATAAGAATCAGCAGACCGAGGCAGTCATAAAACAACACACATAAACTTATTGGCAGGATGCTGTACACTGTGCATACAGATAATACTTATTCTGTCAGCGAGAAGGATAGCAGTCTTCTCATTCAATAATTACAACTTCAGATGGATCTACAGGTGGTTCATACTCAAGGTCAACTGGAGGGGGACTTGGTGCAGATGTCTCAAAATGTTTGAGCTCTTTGTCATGACTGCCAAATCAGAACTCATCATGACAATGCTACTGTCTACTACCTCTGAGTGTGCATGAATCTGATTCAATTCACCCATCCTCCTTTCAGTTCCAAATGACTATTCATGAATCCACAAATAGAAGAGAGTGTTTCCAAGTTGCCTGGTAATGGGATCTGTTATAAAATAGGATTTCTTGATTAATCCTCCATTTCCTGTTTACCATATGCCCTTCACCCAGATAAAGGCAAAAACAAAAATTAATCTCAAAGATGTAAGAATGGGGTTTTAAAAGGTGCAGAAACCATAATGCATTTGTTGATCCAATCAACTTACAGTGCTGTTGTTTGAACTGTTGTCAAAAACAAAGTGGTAAGCTTTAGCCCTAGTTCTCAAAAGTATGTCTAAATAGTTCATCAATATTTCAAGCAGAATGGCAAAAGTGGGGTGGTCAATTGTAAGTCTGGATTCAGGCTAGGCCCACATTTTAGTGGATAGAGGGTTATGGATGCAGTTGTACATTATTTGTTAATGAAGACTCCTGACTTGAATTCTGACCAGCTCATAAACCACCTGTAGATTCAGCTGAAGTTGAATTTATGGGATAAAAAGATTATTGTACCCCTAGCCAACATTATAAGCATTACCAGCATAGATAGTGAATCCTGGCATTAAGCATATATGCCTATGGGTATATATGGCAAGGAGTGCTTATTGGTGCTTATTGGCTGGCACTCACCAAGTCATTCATGAGGTCCCATAGACCAGTTTGAAATTCTATTACCCTCATAAAGGTCTACAGACAATAGCTACAGTAATTAGAGACATAAGACCACAAAATCTCTAATAATACCAAGAGGAAAAACATTTAAAAGGACTCTTACAATACTTATCAACAAATGGGTCTGTTGAATCATGAAATTTTTACACTAAATACATTCATGCTTTAATGTAACATGCATCAAATTGGGCAAGACAAGAGAATCACATTAACAGTTTCTCAAAGGATATACACTGACTAAGAAAGTTTAAATGGCAAAAACCCACCTCTTCTGCAATTCAAAGGTGATACTGTACTCTTCTGCCAAGATCAACTCCTAAATAAATATTTTATCAACCTCAACACTGACTTACGTTAGAAGACTTTGTTTGATATACTGGTATACCTTCCTCATTATTGTAAGGTTGCCAGGAAAAAAAGAAGAAGAGCAATTGCGCGTGCACGCGCGCGCGCACACACACACACACACACACACACACACACACTCCCTTCAAAAAATTCTCACTAATGAAGTTGATGTGTACTGCTATGTTACTTCCTTTCCAAAAAAAGTAGCTCCAAAATTTTTTTTCCTGTCATTACACAAAAGCTAACATGAACCATCAACAGTAACTCCACCTCTAAAAATCAATTGATTTGAAAGAGTGAAAGAGATGGAAGGATGGTGCAGAGAAACTAATAGTGAGGGGAATGGACATGTAGGAAGCAGCAGTGTACTGTATATAATTGACAATTAACAGTAAATTACATATTCATACATTCCCAATGAGATAAGTCCTTGTGTCTGGAAGGGAATCCTGATATGATAATAAAATAATATTCAGAAGAAATTTAAACTCTTGAAAATAAACCTTCAGAGAAGGATACTTGGGATACATTGGCAAGATCAGATAAGAAATGACACCATAAGGGAAATAATGGATGTGTGCGATATATTGATGATAGTCTGATGGGGGGCATTATCTTCCATAAAGAGCCTGGAAGGCTAATAAAAGAAGCTGTGGTCTAGATACCTGAAGGAAGCAGCCTGAGTCAGTCACAGAAGAGGCCCAAGACAGGACGGGATGGTGAAAGTACAGTATGTGAAGGGCCTTTGGGTTGTACAGTAGTGGAGGAGGTATTAGAGGTTGTCACAACAGTTTGAGTGAATGGATGACAGTAAAAGAAGAAAGAATGTGTTTGCTCTTGATTCTGACCATCCTGCAGCATAGGAGAAATTGTTCTTATGACAGAGAATAAGAATGAGAAGAATAAGAAAAGGAAAGAAAGAAGTAATATCACCTCTCTAAGACTTATAAAACAGATCATAACAAAAATATTTTTTTCATACACAATATTCAACGCAATCAACACCCCACTTCCTATGTTGTAATCCAAGTGCTATTTGCTTCATCATAATCTTCCAAACATTAAGTGCCAACTGGGACAAGAACAACCAAATGTGCATTTCTCATAATACCAGTGCCTAAAGTTTCCCATTTCTATCTTCATGTATTCTTAACACAAACATGCTGACCAGGCTTCTGTAATTTACTTACTGAACTCGTCCAGTTGTTGCAGATCTTGAGTGGGAACGAGATGCCTTAAGCTGATTCAAACGGTCACCTTGGGAAAGTCCATTGATGATACGTGTCTCTGAATCCTTGTTGTTTGTGTTACTGTTAGCCACATCCTTAAAAAATCAAATTGATTATGTTAATAAATTTGTACCATAGGTGTGATATATGTATGTTTATATATACTGTATATATACATATACATACACAAGGGTTTAAATAATAAAAAAATTACACCACACATTGTGAGAATATGAAATGTTCTGGTGGAGAAACTATAGGGAAACAAAAATTATATACAGTACTAATAATATGAGCCTACCACTCCTACATTCTATAAACAGACGACAAAAGAAGGAAATTTAATTTTGTGACTGAGAAGAGAATGAATGCACTTTCAGACCCAAACTGATATTACATTCTCACAACCAAGTCTGCCTCTTACTATAGCGCGTTTTTTCCCAGCTGAGAAAAGATGCCCCGTTGGGATGACCGTTTCTGACGAGAAAGATATTTAGCAAAATTATATAAAGATACATACATTCATTATTTCAAACATAAGCGCGTAGAAAGTTTATCAAAAGTATTAAACGTGAATTAACTGTTAAACTCTGGTAGCAAATTCACGCTTTCGGAGGATTCATTTAATATACTGCATACTTATTTTTGCCCACAATAAGGCATACTAAGACAAATAATGTATCAGTAATACTACATTATGCAAAACAACATTTTAAAAGATCAGAATCACATTGAAATACTGTATTACGATTTAACAGTTAATTCATGGATAATACTTCTGATAAACTTCCTACATGCTTATGTTTGAAATAATGAATGTATGTATCTTTATATAATTTTGCTAAATATCTTTCTCGTCAGAAACGGTCACCCAAACGATTATGAATAAACTCATTTAGAAATACATCATTACTTCAGGACAAAATCGGACAGGTTTGCAACAGCCACCAAACCAATCAGCTGTAACTCTTGAGGAGGGGGCGGGGCATCTTTTCTCGGCCGAGAAAAAACACTCTATAGAGTATCTAAACTGTATATACGGCAACAGAATACAATACTGTACACAATGCAGGAAAACAAGACCAGATACTGTTTTTACTGCACTCAACACTCTCACATGTCAAAAGATGGATTTGAACTTATTAAGCCTAATAGAAGTTCACACCCACACAAATCCTAACAGTTCCTTCAGGTGACAAGAGGAAGGGAAGTCACCCGCTGGTTCTCCTTGGTCATACAATATTACAGGATTTTTTTTACACCAATCCTCCATTTATGAATGACCTGTGAGATTCAAAGCTAGCTTGAACAGCAAAAGCAATGAGATAGTCCTGCGAGTATGAAATATATACCTGAAGCTTTTTGGTTAGATCACAAGTGCAAATTTTCTTAATGGATTGTTTCTGCACTGAATCTACATGAAAATGTACCATAACATTACACCCAGCCCAAATATGACAGTAATGGGTTAATAAGTACTATTTCGTCTCTGTGAGGAGTTTTATTACGTGATTTTGTCAGATTCGGTGAACCTGTTCCATACCATTAAGTTAGTAAGGGAGTACTGTATGTAGATAAACAGATGGAGAATTTAACATACACACACACACTCATAATAATGTGAAAAAAAATACAGTATGGTTGAGATAAAATGCTCACTTCAATATATTTGTCATGATTGTCTGTGTGAGTGGTGTGATCATCAAGCTTGAGGGTGTCGACTCCACTCAACACCACCTGAACATTTTCTTCACGATCTGCTTCATCATCAGACGAGCTGCCAGTGAGCTGCAAAAGATAACTACAGTTAAGACTTGTTACAACTGTACTTCCCAGTGTTCTAAAATTACAAAAAGACCTTTGACAAAAATCTGTAAAAGAATATCACATTGAAATGAATCTAATATAACCTTAGCTAACAATGGGAAAGGTCACTAAAGTACTATTGAGTAAACCCACATACCCTATACAGTATATTATAAATTTCAGAATCATAAAAAGAGAAAATTTTATACAGGGGGTCACCAGGTTACGAACAGGTTCTGTTCCTGAGGACGTTCTTTCTTTTCTTAAGTAAAAAAATGTACGTAAGTTGGAACATATGCTTTGTGCATACCGTACTTACAGAACAGTGTTTAAAATCCCACTATATCAAAGCTTAAGTCCTTATATACATCTAAAATCACTTAATTTAAGACAAAAGAAGAAATAGAATGACAAAATACAGTACAGTAAATGAAAGTAAAAAAAATAAGTCATTGGGTAAATAAAATACTGTAAATTTAAAATTTAACCTCGTTTGTATTGGCGGGCATTCGTAAGTCGGGGACGCCCTGTACTTTAAATTTTACATTAAATTCCAAATTCCAGATTAATGAACCTTGTAGACAAATACTGTACATGTACATAAATATAAACCTACTGTACCTGTTTCTTCTGATTGTGATTCTTGCAGTTATATTTGTTTTGATTATTGCGCATGTTGGCTACATGTTCACGATAAGCAATGCTATAAATACCAAACTGGCACTTCTTGTTCAAGTTTTGGTTTTTATTGCGACCGCGAAAAATGTCACCTTCCAGCCACAATGATGATTGCTTGCTGTGTTATAACAGAAAATAAGAACTTTTAGTACAGTACTGTGCACTACATTGTGTACACAAGAGATTTCAATCCACTATTGAATAATACAGTATATACAGAAAATTTTCTTGCACTGTATATGTGTTACTTATATTTAAGCATCCTAAAAATTTTTTTATTGTCATATGAAAACTAAGTACAGTATAAGCAGGAATTCCCAGAAATGTAAGGACTAGTTTGTGCAATCCATATGGATCCTTTAAAGCTAATAAACAATTAATAGTAATTAGGCATTCCTAACTTTAAATACTGTATAGTACTATACTGAAACAATTGGCTATAAAAGAGAATACTGTATTAGAAGATGAATTATCTCTATACAGTATTTTTTAAAACAAACTAACAACTTACGATGTGAGCCATTGCTGCTGACCACCAATTATAGAACCGGGACGACAAATGCGCAACCAAGCAATGATCTCGGCAGCAGTGAATCGAAAGTGCTTCATCACATAGCATCCAATGAGAGAACCAGTTCGACCAAGACCAGCTGTTAAGAGACGATATGAAATCCTTTATAGCATTAATATGTACGTATTACCATATTACATAAATTTGTCTAATTATCTCTGTACCCTGACATCATTGATTAATCATCATCAACTTTGTAAAGCTATTTTCCACACTTGCATCCTTTAGCTGCAATTACCTGATGGCAGCGCTCAATGCTGCATGGCCTCTTGCAACCTCTTTTGTCAGGTTCTTAACTAATATCATTTCAACATGTCATTCTTGCCCTGCCCCTGGCTCTCCTCTTTGCATTTAGACTCGTGCACCTCTTGATGCAATTGGTCTCTTCCATTCTCTTCACATGCCCAAACCATCTCAACCAACCTTTATAAAAGACTGTCAATACTCTCAATAACCAGCCACCCTCTTAGATCTGAACAGGGCTTTCTATGTTTCAGTGTCACATTGCACATCCACCTCACCATTCTCATTTCAGCTCACTCGAACTGCACATATCATACTTCTCACACCAGTTTAATATACATTTCCTTTCACACAGAGGAAAGGTCCTCTTGCTGTCAATATAGGCAGCAATTCCCTAAACTTTGTCCAGCCACTTCTGACTCAGCAACTGAGCTAGCTTGAGCACTGCCTCCACCACTGATCACGTCACCAGAAAGTAGAGCTCATTAAGACAGTCCAGGAAAGTTTCCCTAGTGTTTAGTTACCCAGCCCCTTGCTGAGGCCACTTCATTACCTATGCATACAGAACACTTAGTCAGCAACTTCCTGCAGTCTGCCATCTGCTCCTATGCACCTCTTGTGTACCCACCTTCCACACTCACTGCACATTATTGAGTTGCTGCCAACACCTTTCTCACTGACAGCACATGGCCATTTTCCACTTTCCACCACGGGTCCCTCACCCACACCACTGATCAATATTTTTGTTTTTCCACACTCACTCTCAAGCCCTTTTTATCTCCATTCCATCCTTCCACTTCTTAAATTGATCCATTACCCCTTCAATACTATCTGCTATCAACTCTGCAATAAGTCATCAGCATACAACAACTCCCACTGCAAACCCATCCTAGAATCCCATGATGCTGCCTCCAGCACCATGATATATAAAAGGGAGTTAAAGACACATCCCTACTTTCACTTTAAATTCCTTGCCATTTATGCATGCACATATACAGTGCAGATATATAAAAATGCATGTACAGTATTATACCAGTGTTTAAAAAAAAAAAAAAAAAAAAAAATCTCCTGTCAATACCTTTGCAGTGGACTGCTATGCCTCCTTCAGTATTCTCACAGACTCTTAAGAATTCTCTCATGATTTCATCTGATGGGCAAGAACCATCAATGAAGTACATGTCGTAATGATCAAACCCAGCATTCTTAAACCGAGCTGCGTCATAGATCTTCTTGTTGAGTCTGACGATGGCTGTGACATTGTGCTTGCGAAAGTAACTGAAGTACGTCTCAGGGGAATGGAGAGTGTAACCGTTCTTGATTTTGCTTTCTGCGTGGGGTCCACAGAATGCCAAGAATTTTCCAGGCATGATCCAGTTGAAATCCCCATTCTGTACTTTCTATTTAAGAAAAGAATAAAATTAATTACAAATGAGAATTATACAATCTATTATTAAATCATTTAAAATATATGAAAAAATAAATAAAATAAGTCAAGTGAATGGAAAAAATTAACACAACTGACACTAAATCGGTCCTTGTACTCACCTCATAATACTCGTACTCATCAACATCAAAATCCTCAAAATTAAAAAAACCCAATTTGAAGGCTTTGTCAATTGCTTGCAGGCAATCAAGCAGAGTCAGATGGTATGTTGACATCCCATATGCTGCATCACGAAATGGACAAAATGGCGGACTGTTTCCACCAATCAAAGGCTTGTAAGCTTCCTCAGGAGTCTTCTTCAAGTAAATGATCTAGAGAGAGTAGAAGAAAAAAGAACAATTACTGCACCAAATTTTACCCAGCACATTGATGAGTTATGTAGTACACTACTGTATTTACTGCCCTCTTCTTCCCTTACTTACCCCGGAACAGTTTTGAAAAATAAATTAAGTTTGCTTCAACTCGTTTTTGTTTGGAGTTGTAAGCACAGTAATATTACTAGTGTATTATCGGAAACCTGATCAAACTAAAATAAGGGTGACAGAGAACTGGCCTCTGACATTATAAACACTGCACTTTCACAGATGTACATTACAAACCCTAATACAGTGGGGTATGCTATAACGAACGGATCCTACTACGAATATTCCTATAACGAATGGTTTTACCTAATTTGAGAATGCTATAACGAACGCAACTCCTACAACGAACGCGGATGAATACGGGACTATTTCGTCTGGTGCATGAATATTGTTGTACTGTGACCCACAACAAGAGCGTCAGGCGCCATCTTTGTCTCATTGTGTAGCCAGTGCACCACTGTTATTGTTGAAATTTCGTCTTTTGATGTGGAAATAGAGTTATTTGTATAAATATTTTGTTATACAAGTGTACAATTGTAACAATGAATCGTCCAAAGCGACTGAGAAAGCTCATAACTCTTGAAACTAAGAAAGAAATCATAAAGAAAAGTGAGAATGGAACAAGCATTGCGAAACTTAGTGATGAGTATGGGATGGCTAAATCAACTATATGTACGATTTTGAAGAATAAAGAGGAGTTGAAAACTGTGCAAGTGGCTTTGGGAATCTCTAGACTTAACAAAGCAAGGTGTAATGTGATTGAGGAGACGGAAAATTTACTCCTAGTGTGGATAAAGGAGAAAGAAATGGCAGGTGAAAGCATTAGGGAAGCTATAATTTGTGAGAAGGCCAGACAATTGTTTGAGGACCTTAAAGCCAAGACTCCCAGTGGAAGTGATAGTGATGTGCCAGTGTTTAGGGGTACCAAGGGGTGGTTTACTGGTTTCAGAAGGAGAAATAAATTACATAGTGTTGTGAGACATGGTGATGCTGCTAATGCAGATAAAGAAGCAGCTAAGGAACACCATGACATTTTTTTGAATGTGATTAAAGAGGGAGGCTTTGTTTCTCAGCAGGTATTCAACTGTGATGAAACTGGACTTTTTTGGAAAAAAATGCCTCGCCGTACATACATTACCAAGGAGGAAACGTCTGTCCCTGGCCATAAGCCAATGAAAGACAGGCTTACTCTCCTTCTTTGTGCTAATGCTTCTGGTGACTGCAAAATAAAGCCACTCCTTGTGTACCATGCAGAAAACCCCAGAGCTTTCAAAAACATTAGGAAGACCCGCCTTGGTGTTATGTGGCAGTCAAACCCAAAGGCTTGGGTGACCAGGAGTTTATTCTCTGAGTGGGTGATTGAGGTGTTTGGACCCAGTGTTCGGGAATACCTCAGGGAGAATAATCTTCCACTGAAAGCTTTGTTGGTGATGGACAATGCACCAGCCCACCCTTCTAATTTGATGGTTGAATTGCCAGAGGAGTTCAACTTCATCATTGTGCACTTCTTGCCACCCAACATAACACCTCTCATCCAGCCCATGGCTCAACAGGTAATTTCTAACTTTAAGAAGCTGTACACAAAGGCACTGTTTAGAAAATGTTTTGCATCCACTTCTTCCAGTGATGTTAGTTTGAAGGAATTTTGGAAGAATCACTTCAATATAGCAGACGCTGTGTTTTTAATTGCGTCAGCCTGGAAAGAGGTTACTATGAGGTGTCTTTGTGCTGCTTGGAGGCCATTGTGGCCTGAATGTGTGCTTCAAAGAGACTTTGAAGGCTTCGAAGAGTTAGAGGAAGAGGCTGTTGTACATGAAATTGTGTCTCTGGGCAATTCCATGGGCCTGGAAGTGGATGATGATGATGTTGAGGAGTTGGTGGAAGAGCACAGTAAGGAGCTGTCCACTGCGGAGCTGCTTGAGCTTCACAAAGAAGAAAATGAGACACTGAAGCGGAGCTTAACTTCTGAGGAGTCAGGGGAGGATGAGGACAAGGAGGAAAGCTGCATCATTCCAGCCAAAGATCTCAAGGATGTGTTCTTTTGCTGGAGCAAACTGTCTAAGCTTGCTGAGGATTATCATCCTGATGTTGGTTCTGTGGAAAAGGCCATCAGTGTGTTTAATGACAATGTGATGAACTACTTTTGGAAGGTCCAGAAATCAAGGTTGAAGCAGCCAACCCTGGATTCCTTCTTTAAAAAAGTAGCAAAAGACCCTACAATCAAAGTGCCTGTAAGACAAGTCACCAAAGAGGGCTAGGAAGGATGACTCCTCTCCTTCCACCTCTTCTCCATAATTCTCTCCTCCCCCCTCCCCCTCTGCCTCCTGTCCTGCATGCTGAACAACACTAAGGTAAGATAAAGTACCGTATTTTTTACATTTTCCACAGAAAATTTTCAGTGTTAAGTGGTTGTATTTGGGGGCCTGGGACGGATTAATCCTATAACGAACAAGGTTCTAGAACCAATTAGATTCGTTATAGCATACCCCACTGTAACTGATAATCATTTGCTCAACAAAGCATCATAATGGGAGAGATGGGGGGGCTAGGGTGAGTGTGGTGGGTGGAAGAGAGAGAGCTGCAGGAGGCTTGGTGTTGGTTAGGAGAAGTATGTGGTCAGTTTCTCAACTGGCTCAGCCATGTTAATATTGTTATTATTATCCACTCTGTATCTGTATTTTTCTGGCTAAATAAACTGCTACAATTCAACGGTTATATTGATCACATTCACCCACCACCATCATCAACACTCACACCAACCACTATCAACACTCCCCAACCACCATTATCAACACTTTTCACACCATCACAACCACCAACACACACCAACCACCACCAACACTCTCTGACATTGCCTTTTTTGATGGAAAGGGACCCGAATTTACAATATCACAAGCAGCAGTAAGATGTAAACATTAAGTCATTCTGTGAGATATAATGTTTCCAAGGCAAATAAAAATGTTAATCATGGAAAGTTGTCATTTACACACACACTACTACTACTAACTTTGCTGACACTCAGAATCGAGTATGATGATCATCCAGCTATGATACAATGATACGAGCTATTAATCCCTACGTCCCGGGCTAGGGTGCCGCTGGCCGTACCCCCCCGTGCAGGGTAAATTGAGAAAAATCAACCTTTCCAAAATTAATTTTTAACTTTTTTTAAATGATAAAACAATAAAAAAGAAGTAATAAAAACTATATATTGACCCCCTAGAAACTTCCCTGGGGCCACAGTGGTGAGGAGATAAGGGGACAGTGTTGTTTTGACTGAGTGCTAGTGGTAACTACGCACTTAGCGGCCATTTTCTGCTTCCCTTCGTGTCCGGGACGGCTAGTAATGCATACATTTAATGATCATAATACTTATTTCCTATAAATAATTAATTTTGAATTTATTTTATTTGCATTCTTTTTCATGTGTGTTGCGAGGTTGAGGGACAACTCTCCATGGCGACAGGATAATAAGTACTAACCGCACTGAGCCCACCCACGATACCCTGCGTGTGGCGTGACCACCAAATATTCATGCTGGAACCTAATAACCAGCGCTGGGCATTCAAGCAATCGTGTGAAAAGGCGCGCGTTCCAGAACGTCAACTGGGGTGCCCTAGATGGACGTTCAGGAATATCAACGGGGACATAGGGGTTAAGGATGTCGCCTAGAATGGTGATTTCTGAGGGGACTAAAGAGGCCGATACGGGACTGGCAGGATCAATCACAGATGTTGCACATGTCGGGGGCTACATCTAGTGTGGGGGCGGCAGCAGCATCTTTCCAGCGTTGATGCTTGTCTCCCTCGGTATGCAGTTGGGCTAACTTGAGAGTATTGACACCTTCTTGGGTGGTGCTCCTCCAAGCGTTACAGTGTGGAGCAATCGCCTCCCAGGTGAAGGGGTCGATTTGGTACTTTTTCAGGTTTGTCCTAAGGCTATCCTTATATCTTTTCAATTGCCTACCAGTCTTACGTTTACTATTTGTTAGGTGACTGTAAAGTAGCTGCTTTGGCAGTCTATTGTCATCCATGCGGGTAACATGGCCAGTCCAGAGTAGTTGTTCATGGATAGTGGTAGCCTTGATATTTCTACAGTTGGTGTCAGCAAGAATACTGGCATTTGTTCTCTTGTCTTCCCAGTGAACTCGGAGGATGGAACGTAGACTACGGTGGTGAAAGTTTTCAAGTGCCCAGATGAGCCTCCAGTATGTGACCCATGTCTCGCTGCCATATAGCAGGGTGGGGAGGACCACTGCTCGAGATATGTGTAACTTTGTAGATAATTTCAGCTCCCTACAACTGAAGACACGCTTTTTGAGTCTGCCAAAGGTTTGAGATGCACATCTGATCCGATGCTGAATCTCTTCATCTCGGAGCAGCCAGGTCAACTGTTAAGTTGGCCCATACCAACCCCTGAACCCTCCTCCCCACATGAATATCAACAAGTTCTCGCCAGAAGTTACAATTTCATTTAGGAAAGGAACGGAACCAGTGTTAAACAGAGGTGAACAGTGCTTAAGTCAGTGAGAACAACTCAACAGTAACAGTCGTACCCAAGTAAACCTTCACACAGTGAGATCCCAGGTACCCAGTGATAACGGCCCGTGAGACCCAACAACAACCAGCGATGTGTTAATCCGTCTACAATAGGAAGGCCAAAACCAAACCTCACTCATATAACACCATCTGTGAGGGAATTACTACACCACATGTCCCTCATAACACCATATGTGAGGGAATTACTACACCACGTCAAGTCCCTCATCACACCATCTGTGAGGGAATTACTACACCACGTGAGGTCCCTCATAACACCATCTGTGAGGGAATTACTACACCACGTCAGGCCCCTCATAACACCATCTGTGAGGGAATTACTACACCACATGAGGCCCCTCATAACACCATCTGCGAGGGAATTACTACACCACGCCAGGTCCCTCATAA